GTCTGCCCGAGCCATTCCGTACATTTCAGCTCCTTGGCGCAAGCCACTTTCCCTCCGAGAACGCCTTCGCAGATTCTTCTTCTACATCAAGGAGTTTGATATCGATCCCAAGGGTCGCTATATCGACGTAGCCCCCTGGCCCGACTATGTCGACGACGATGGCGTGATGCACTTCATGGACAATGGACGGCCGGAAGCTGAGAGAATGAAGGGAATCACTGTTAAGCCGGACTTGGTCATCTTCGCAACGGGATACACGCGACGCTTCCCCTTCCTTGACGAGAGCTACGGGACGCCTGACTCGGCGGATGTACGAGCTGTTTATCACAGCCATGATGTTACGACGGGATTCATCGGGTTTGTTCGACCCAATCTCGGTAAGTCTGTATCAAAACGATACTTCTAGCATGCATTACTAACATTGCTTAGGCGCCATACCTACGCTCGCCGAGATGCAAACTCAGTTCTGGATCCTTCGTCTCCTGCAATCAAGATACCCAACCGTTCCCGGCCTCAACCCATCACCGAACGGCCTACCTCTTGACCCCAACGCACTCCCCGGCTACGATATCGATTGGAAGCTACACCCCCGCTGCGGCCGCGACCCATGGGCCGAGAAGCGCGGCGTCGACCATGAGAGCTACGTCTATCAGCTGGCGCTCGACATCGGCTCGGCACCGCGCTTCAGCTACATCCTGCCCCAGGGCTTCCGCGCCGCTTACACTTGGGCCATGGGCAGCAACTTTAACGCCAAGTTCCGTCTTGTCGGGCCCTGGAAGAACGAAGAAGAGTCGTTGCGCATCATGCGCGGAGAGCTGTTTGGCATTGTCAGCCAGTCCGGTGGAATGTTGTACTTTTTCGCTAATACGTTGATACCCATGTTCATGTTCGGAACGATGAGCGTTGCTATTCACACTTGGGACTGGGCAAAGAGCCTGGTTACGCCGTGGAGACGCAAGGAGGGCCGCATCCGTCTTTCTCATTGTTAGCCATGCAAGCGTTGCTTTTAGTTGAATCACACTAATGGTTCCTGTCGAAAATCAAAGCGTTTCTTATGTTCTATCAAGGCTAATGCAATCTTCCTGCCCCAAACTTAAGCGAGTGTATGTGCACCCAAAACATGTGCTCCGTTGTATGCATGTGGTGTGTGTCTGAAGTCGACCGAAAATTTAGTTTCTCTCGGCAGAACCCCATCTGACACACTGGATACGGCGGTTGTCACCATCTCTGCCGTCCAAGTTCACACACGGATGGTCGTTGTCGTTGTTCCATCTTCCCAGCAGGTTGCCGGTGCAGCCACCGCCGTTGCCGGTCTTGCCATCGAAGAAGTACCACGGGCCGGAGGCGAAGTAGACGGAGTGGCTAGTGTCGTCCATCGTGACGTCGACGTTGAAGTTGCTCTCATGCTCATAAGAAGCGGTCCCTTGGGCACTATTGAGCGGGTTAGTATGTGTAACTGTTATGATGGTGAAGTTTGCATTACCAGGTGCCGCTGGAGAACTCGTTGGCCTTGCGGTTGGCACGAGGAGCAACCGCTGCGGCAGAGGCTCCTGCGGCAGCGCCGAGGGTGAGGACGATGTTGAGAACGTTGGTGAAATGCATGATGTTGGAGGGAGGGATTATTTGAAGATTTGAATGACTTGTGTTTGTGAGGGTGGTGGTTGAAATTCTGCTGAGTTGATGAGACTGTTGTGGTTGATGCTGGATGAAAGAGGCTCTCTTCTTAGAACTTGAAGGCCTTTATATACCCTTTTCTCCGGCATCATGAGTGTTGAGCAAAGCGAATCGGTCACGGAAATAGTATCATCAAGCAACGTGCCCTAGAATGCGGCTGGACAGTTACACGAAAGGATCTCAGCTGCAGGACCGTCGGTTTTCGCCAAATCCATCGACCCCAAAACTCTTAATTGGCTGGCAGAGCTTCGCGGCCCTGATCGGCACCCCGCACCCGCCCTGTTGCAGGCAGCCACGATCAATTGGGCAGTGCTACTGCAACTCTGAGAAGGCAGATCCTGGGTGCTTAGCCAAGCTGAAAAAAAAGCTTCTTATTTCGAAGAAAATCTGCGCCGCCGGGGCCCGGCACGGCACAGGGGCGGAAAGAATCCTTCCGACGATCAGCCTCATCCCGTTGGTCGGATCGGATTCACGTCCAACAGCGGCTCCGTTGTATGCAGCTCTGTGAACCCTGCAAAGCAACACCGCATTTGCGGAATGCCGGTGCCTGAACTCAAATGTTCGCCCTGTGCTCAGCCACTACACCTATTTTCAGCCCACAGTACCGCAGCTGCAGCCTGGATGACGTCTGTTTAATCACGATGTGCCTGATCAGGGGGCCAAAATCGAAGAATAGGGACGTCTAGGGATAGACAATTCTTTCACATCTGGAAATGAAATTCAGTGAGAAATTAGAACTGTTTCTGTCGCAGTGGATCGTGAGTATGACTTATTGAGCACTTGGAAGTGAGACAAGCTCCTTCGTCTCATGATGAGATAATCCTCGATTAGCCATCCGACCTGAGCTTGAACGTGGCCCAGTCAGAATCAATGGTCTGCTTTTCTTCTCTTTCTCATTGCTTGAAAGTTGGTCTGGTGAAAGTTTTGGTGGATATTATTAGCAATTACTGCAGGACCGAGAGTCCTCGGCTCTATCATATGCGCCCCCAAAACGCCTATATCGTACACTCCCTCTTCACCCATGCAACATGCCAATAATAAGAGGAAGACATGCCGTATTACGATCGTCTCAGCACCCATCCGTCATAGGTCGAGGAAGGATACCGGGGATCCACCTTGCCTTCGTTGGCAGGATTCAGCGTGCTACCAGGCAGCTTCGCCAGCTTCTGAATGATCCTGCCGTCAAGATCAGGGTCAGGGGAACGATAGTTGTACACGGAAGAGTTCGTCTCGGGGATCTGTCTTGGCCTGCATGCAAAGAGCAGCTGATACACCTGACTTTGTTGCCAGTTGCCAAAGACCGTGGACAAGGCCAGGTCGACGTAGCGTCCGAAGGGAGCGAATTGGACAATCCGCTCGTAGACGTCACCGTCCCCAGTATTCTTGGTCGTGAAGATGTTGTGCTTGAGTCTATCCAGCTCTCCATACAGGTGCTGCTTGGGGATAACGAAGCCTGACGGGTCGTGCTCGCCGACACACTCCAACATCCACTTCAGCACGAGATCTGCGAGTACTTCGTTCGGCTTGATCGTTTGACTTGTCCATGCCCAGGCAGGAAGAAGGGCTTGCAGCCGCTGAGGCAGAAAATCCCTGACAAGCTTGAACTGCTGGCGAGTGACGTCGTAGTGTGTGCCAGGGAACCAGCGCTCGGTGATGCCGTATGACGGTCCGTATTCCGTGTCTCGGGAGATCAGGCACGGCCGGAAGGCGTAGAGTCGGTCATGGAGAGATACGGCGTGGTAGACGTCGGAAACGACACTCGAGACGTGCTGGTCGTAGAACTTCGGCCAATCGGCGCTCACGCCCTCGGCGAACTCGGGGATGCCACGCTCACCGACTGTGTCGAAGATGCCCATGAACCGAATCGGTGCGTCGATGACCTCGCCGTCTCCAATGAGGGGCCAGCTGTACATCCATCTGAACTGTATCGACTGCTCTGACTTTGGCGCAGTCGCGTCAGACGGATCGCGATAGATGCGGTAGACTTCCTCGCAGAGCTGATGTGTCTTTTCCTCGTCAACATCACCATTCGCTTGGTATAGCGGCTTGACGATGCCGCAGTTGTTGATCATGCCCGCTACGGAGCGGACGATGTATGCACCGCGGGATGCGCCGAACATCCAGATCTCGGTCTCGAGGGGGGTGAAGCCCCGAACAAGATACTCATATGTGTCGACGCATTGCTGCTCGATATCTTGAACGTTCAACCCGTGAAATACATGACTAGTGCGATGAAGGAGTCAGTAAATATGCATCTCTTCATGGGCTTTTTGCTTGGAAATACTCACTCCATGAATGTGCTACCAGGCGGAACGCTATTGGTGTAGTGAATCTTTCCCAAGGGGTGAAGATGTGCCCGGTCATCGTCCTTTGGCAGCCCACGCCCTTCCCATATCAGGTTTGCGAGGAGGTAGAGGTTGGATTCTGATCCGACATCTCGGCCGCTCCATGAGCCGTCGGCGAGGACAATCAATGGGTTCTTCTGCGGGCCGCGGTAGGACATCGTGGGTCTACAGGCTGTTGCAGTGATTGAGTCTGGTCACGCGAGAGCATCCATGAAAGAGAGAAGGGTCAACGCAGTTGATGTATGTGATGGTCAAAATGTTTAGATTTTCGAACGGGCTTCATTGGAATGATACACAGTCTGATATTGTGGAGGGAAACAACTCCGAGACAGTTGGGCACAGTCCGCAGCCGCTTACATTCCAGAAACTAGATGTTGTTTTTGAAAGCGAAGTTTGCGCATTGCGATGAGTAAATACTGCAGAGTATTTGTAGGTAGGTCCATCATTCGTCAATCAAGGTGTGATAAAGCAGCGACGCTTTCTGCCTCATGCACCTTCACCAGTTCTCCGTGTCGGACTCAATGGTGCCGAGGTCGTGATGGAAGTTGTCGTGCTAAAGTCTAGACCAACACAGATGGGATTTCGTCGCATCCAAGAATGCCATGTTTCAATTTCCGTGCTTCCGGCATTCAGGCTGCATTGGTGCAATCTGACAGGATGGGGCGATGGCGCGGAAATAAAGGGTTCTTGGCCACGACCCCTGAGGGACGGACTGGGACCTCATCACAGAGCCCTGTAAAGATGACTCGCCGCTAAGCAAGGGCCCTTCATTTCCCTGGCCGTTCCTCTTCGCACTCGGTTCGAGGTTTGTTTTTGCGCGCCTTCCAGTTGAATAAGTTCAAACATCGGAAGTCAGCACGTATCCCACCTTTCCACTCCATCGACAACAACTTCTGGAAGCCGTTTTGCCTAACCGAACACTTTCATCAGCATCGCGTTGGTTCTTAGGCCTCTTGCAATTAACCTTAGTCGTCAGCAAACGGGCGCTTGGTCTAGGGGTATGATTTTCGCTTCGCACCTTCCAGCTAACGCTGACTTCACGATGTGTTCCAGTGTTGATTGATTTGCGCCTTTGTGAAAGGTCGTGGGTTCAATTCCCACAGTGTCCAAATGTTTTGCTTCCTTCGTGGTCGAAATTATATTTTTGTTTGTGATGGATGATAGGCTCTTTTCCCACTCTCTTTCAACTACTTACTGAACAAGGATATGCGGGTGCTTGCGTGTAGGTGTTTTTTTATCTCTGCCTGTAATAATCCTATCTAGTACCAGTTGAACGGTGTTAGCTAACTGATTACCAGACGAGTGAATGGCATGCTCTGTGGGGGAGAACACGATAGACAACACATGATAAATCTCAATACACGACGGTCCTTGCATTTCAATCATGAAAGAGTTCGCGGCTCATGGCTCGACATGGCTTCTACATGTTGTCTTCGGGCTCTCAAAAAGTTGCCCAGGACCACGCATAGGCCAAGGGTTCGTCTAAAGCCTCGAGACTTTCGGGTTGTCGTGTGTGGGGCCAAACCGAGCAAGCGGTGAAGAAAGACATCATCAGATGACATTGACTGGTTCACTAAGTGACAAACACACCAGCCCCTCCTGTTCAATGTTCAACACTCTCAAACGGAATACAAAATCCGGCGTCAATTGACGTTCTTCCGGCCTTGAAAACCAATATTCAATACCCAGACGGTGCCGGCTCTTCGTCCGGCAACTGAATGTGGGGGTGGGACAAACAGAGATCGTCGTATGCAGCAGGGATCTCACCCACATCGGCAATCGCTTCGGCTTGCGCAGCTGCAGCTCGCACGCCGAAGAAGGCCAAGCTGTTGGGCCGCCGTTACACGAAAGGCAGGTACGGACGAACCGGACTAACCAAGGAGTTCGGATTGAATAAGCGAAGCGGGGAATTGGACGGCTACTGCAGCATTCGGAGATTGCAGACATGGAAAAGAGTGCGTTTTGGCAGCTGGGGAGCAGGTTTGTTTACGTAGTCATGCCTTGGCTTTGGGGGCTTCTTTTCGTACTTGGTCCGAGGACGTCGGGCCTGGCCCCGATGTGTGAAAAGGGGCTTTATAAGTTGCGGATGGCTGCCGATGAGTCTGGTGAGAATTATCCGTTGTGCTGTTGTCGGCGCATATTCTTTCCAGCAAGTGACCATGGCAGCCCGTTCGGCACGCACTCTCTCGGTCCTCGGCGCGGCGACAGCCGTCGCCGCTGCATCCAACTTCAGCGCTTGCACTTCCGCGACCTTCGCCTCACTGACGCTGAGCAACATCGAGATCATCTCTCGCAATGTCTCTGCTCTGCGCAACCAGTCTCTGGCCTCCGGCCAAGATGCGGGAACCGGCGTGGGTGTGGGCATCATCTCGGCTCCGACGGGAGAGACGGCCTCCGGCGTGGATCTCTGCCAGATCGCTATCCAGTACACGCACCCCGGCCAGAACGACAACGTCAACACTTACATCGGACTTCCTCTTGATGCGGCGAACTGGAACTCCCGGTTCATGATGGGTGGAGGTGGCGGATGGGTTGCTGGCGGATCGGGCGTCATCATCGGCCCCGTGGCGTCTGGCTACTCGAGCTCGTCAACCGATGGAGGGCACAACTCTACGACTACGACAGCGGAATGGGGCCTTGTCAGTGAGGGTAACACCAACTGGCCGGCGCTGAACGACTTTGCGTCTGTGGCCCTCGATGAAGCTGCGAAGTTGGGCAAGGCTGCCACGCAGATGTACTACGGTAAGGATCCGTCCTACTCGTACTGGAATGGGTGTTCAACCGGAGGACGACAGGGCCACATGATGGCGCAGAGGTTCCCTGAGCACTTTGACGGCATCCTGGCCTCGGCTTCGGCGTTTAACTGGCAGAAGTTCCAGACTGCGTCCATGTACCCGGCCTTCTTATCTGAGTTGCTGGGTAAGCTTTGCGTCACCAATTGGAAGAGGAAGAGTTGACTGACATGATTACAGACGTGATCCCCCCATCCTGCGTCCTTAACGCCTTCACGGACGCTGCTATCGAGGCATGCGACGAACTCGACGGCGTCAAGGACAGCATCATTTCTCTGCCTGGGTCCTGCAACTTCAACGCTTCTTCTCTCATCGGCCAGACCGTCGCATGCACCAACCCCAACGCGACGATCACCATCGATGAGAAGACTGCGCAGTTCGTGCACGGATTCTGGGAGGGACCCCGCAGCGCTGAGGGCGTCTTCCAATGGTACGGTTATACTCAGGATGCTCCTCTGACGGCCGTCTTCAGTCCGACCTGCACATCGGTCGACAACTGCACTTACACGCCTTTCTCCGCCACGAACGACTGGTTCGGCGTCTTCCTCGAGAGGAACTCCACCTGGAGCATCGAGAGCTCCGGCATCACCCAAGAGCGGTTCGACAGACTGCACCGCATCTCCGTGGACGAGTACACCTCCTCCATCGGCACCGACAACGTTGACCTTACGGACTTCAAGAAGCGCGGGACGAAGATGATCACCTGGCACGGCATGCAGGACCCCCTTATCCCGTACAACGGCACGGTGGACTACTACGAGCGCGTCAAGGCCTGGGATGCGGATGTCGAGGATTACTATCGGTTCTTCCCTGCTCCGGGTGTCTCTCACTGCGGTGGCGGCGCTGGGTTTGACCCGAGCGACTACGTCTTCGACGCGTTGCGCGCGTGGGTTGAGAATGGCACGGCGCCAGAGACTTTGACTGGCCAGGGAACTGCGGTCGGCAACTCCAGCGAGACTCGTACGGTGAACTTGTGCATGTATCCCAAGGTCCTGACCTTTACTGGAACCGACCCTGATGATGCTGCTTCATATGAGTGCATCTAGGTGGTCTGCAGCTTCAATCCATGATCATTACAGTTCAGCGACTTTTGCAGCACGTCTGTTAACATGATACACCTATAGCAACTCATTCGTAGGTATGATCAAGGCGTTTTGATGTTGGCCCGACTGCGTTTCGAAGTGACCCCGCGAATGCCCCAGTCCGCAGCGGGCCTGTTAGGCAAGATCCCGCAGCAAACCCACATCGTCAACTCCGATATGGTGTAGTGGCCAACATGATGCCCTCTCATGCACTTGAGAGGTTAGGCATAGCCCCGAGTTCGATTCTCGGTTTCGGAACATTTTGCTCGTTTTCTTTTTGTTTGGCTGTTTGATATGGACGATCGGAAGCCAGAGACGCTGTTACTGACTGAGTTCGTGCAATGTGTTTGTTGTGCTGGTGGTGAATCGGCAGCTTACTTCCGAACTAAGTCCAGGACGTAAGACGCGGTTTGTAATCCTCAACCCAAACATTTTACGATGATGAAGTTATAAATCAACAGCAGCTTGAATTCGTGCATCCTCATCGTCCGCTTTGACGTGTGGGGGTGAACCGGTCCAACCACTTAACTCTATGCGCGGATCCAACGCCAAAAGATCCCCGCTGCGAATGCCGTGCAGAACCGCCTCGAAGTCTAACAGTTCAGCGCAAGATTTGTAAGCGTTTCATCGGCGAAGGCAATTATTCAGACAACACTTCAACGTCACTCCCCACTTTAAACCTTTATCCGGATAAAAGTCGTGGTCCAGACGAGCGTAACTCGACGCACTTGCATGACCAGCAACTACAACACACACTCACTTAATAAACTCATTCACACAGCCCAACTAACACCATGTCGGGAACAATGAAGGCCCTCGTCACAACCGGCGAAAAGACCGCCAAGATCGAAGAGGTGAGCCCCATCTCATGACGAGCACATTTCCAACCCCGCATTCACTGACATCCGACTTAGATCCCCATCCCGCAACCCGGCGCGGGCGAGATCCTCGTCAAAGTCCATTACGTAGCCCAGAACCCGACAGACTGGAAGTCCACCGCCTCAGCCAAGGACGCCGGCCGCACCATCGGCTGCGACTTCGCCGGCAGCGTCGTCAACCCCAACGGCTCGCAGTTCAAGGAGGGCCAGCGCGTCGCCGGCTGGGTCTTCGGCTGCAGCCCGGACCCCCCGCGCGGCGCCTTCGCCGAGTACCTTATCACCGAGAGCAGCCTGGTCTTCCCCGTCCCCGACGGCATCACCGACCCCCAGGCCGCCGTCGTCTCGCTGGCCGTCGCCACCGTCGTGCAGGCCCTCTTCCAGCGTCTGGCGCTGCCGCCGCCGTCCAGCCCGGCCACGCAGCCATTCCCGATCCTGATCAACGGCGGCACGAGCAGCGTCGGGCTCTACGCGGTGCAACTCGCCAAGAAGGCGGGCCTGAAGGTCATCGCCACTGGCAGCAAGAGGAACCACGAGCTGTTGAAGACCCTCGGCGCGGACGTGACCGTTGACTATCGCGACGCGGACTGGATCGAGCAGGTGAAGAAGGCGGCGGGCGACAAGCTGCAGTATGCGTTTGACTGCATCAGCGAGGTCGACACCACCAAGGCCGTTGTGCAGACGATCTCGTCCGAGGGCGGACACGTCATGTGCATTCTGCCTCGCAAGGCCGACGAGGTTGAGGCGCCGTCGTACGTCAAGGTTGAGAGCACGCTGGCGTACACCGTGTTTGGGAAGCCGCTTGAGTACGGCGCTTTCGATAATCTGAAGGGCGACAGGAGCGGCGACAAGCAGTTCTGGGAGAAGTACCTTCAGGTTATCCCCAAGTGGCTGGAAGATGGTTATCTGAAGCCGAACCCGCCAAAGGAGTTTGGCGGCCTGGAAGATATCCCGAAGGGCTTCAAGTTGCAGGAGGAGGGCGGTGTAAGTGCTGAGAAGCTTGTGTACAAGATTGCCTGAACCAGACAGGGCGTATAAGCATTCAGTAGTAGAAATGTGGAAAATTGCTGCGAACAAAGCAAAAGTTTACTCATGAAAATGGTTTTAGTATGGGAGCATACTCACAAATGACTGCTACCTCATGGCCTATGAGTATCTTACTGCTGTACGCATCGACGTATCTTGACTGTGTTGCGCGTTCTCGATCGAGCTTTGTCTTGTTGAGCCGTCATGCTCACGCCGTGTTTAGATATCCAACGTGTCACAAGATTGCCATTTGTTTATGTATCCGTCATGATGATCTAGACGCTGGTTAGAGATGAGAATCGACTGCCTACTAAGTCGAGGTGAACAGCAACGTTGCCTAGGTGACCTTACTAGTCCAACAAAAGTTTTCGCAGATCACTGACCAGGCTTTTTGACAGATCTTCTCTATAATCCTGATAGACTCTATTTGGTATTATGCTTTCACATTACGCTCGTGGTATCCTAAAAACATTCTCGTCTTCAAACGTCCAAAGCATCGACTCGCTCGCTCTTTAGCAGATGTAAGTGTACTGCGCGCGAATGCCGCCGTTGTCCTTGCAGCCGTTCTGGTACACGCCGAACTTGCTGTCGTCAACGCAGCACTGCGATTCTCCCAATTAGCAATAGTCCTTGCCAAGGCGAAGCTTGTCGTGACTTACCGCCGCAGGGTAGCTCTTCTCCGGGGTTCCGCCGACCGCGGTGCAGATGTTGGTGCTGGGGTTCGGGTTGCCGCTGGGCATGACACAGAGGTAGCCAGCGAATGCCGGACTGGGCGCGCGGCAGGTCAATTAGCGACGGAACCCAAAATGATTAAGGTTAATGACGTGCGCTGGCGGGTGGACTTACGCGGCGTGCGCCAAGGAGAGGGCGAGGACGGCGGTGATCTTCATGGTGATGGTATGAATTCTGAGATATTGGTGATGGGAAACGGGTTGCGTGAATTCGATTGTCTAGAGATACTGTAGCTTCGCAAGAATTGTAGGCGTTTTCATGTTGCTTGGAGGGAGGAGCGAGCGAGATATAACGGTGCCGATTTCCTTGCGGTGCGAGTTTTGGCAGCGCGAACGACTCATTGACGACATGGATAGCCATGGAGGTCTGGGGGAGCGACGGGGGATGACCCCTGGCACAATATACTTTTGACGGGACATCAAACGGTGTGCCTCTGCTGTTCAATATGGCTTGAGTGGCTGTGGTCACCTGTTCCTTATGCCGTCTGCTAATGTCTTTGCCGCCCTTCAGGATGATGGCGTCGGCAATCGTGTTCTTGGGCAGCCAAGACTGAACTCGGTTCTTCCCGAATAGATCGCTTTATAACTCCTGGCGAAGACAAATGCAAAGAATATTGAGCGGCGAATGCCTTCTGCTCTACATGCCACTGGTTATTGATGCCAGCGTTGTAGATAATTCGATGATTCCCCAATTATAGAAGGGGTCTGGACTCTGGCCTTTCGCAAGGGTTCACTTCCAGTACCCATTTAACAACATGCGCTTGGATATTTCCAACACCGAAACCGAAGCAGAAGTCTCTTGACCCTTCACCTTTCTGGAAAACTTCCAATTCTCGCTCAAATGCACAGCGGCATCTTCCGCCAGAACACGGGGCCGAGATCCCGTTGAGATTGCGAGCGGCACTGAAGCGTGGGCCTGGGGAAATGCCACGAAAGCCCCGACGAGTCAGTGATCGCCGCGGTGTTGGCTGTGCGCGCGCCCTGCCCTGCGGCGGGCCTCTGCCTCATGAAGTTCAACGGTCCCTTGAGTTGGGGAAGAGCGCCGGTCGGACGAGACTCCGAAGGATCTCTTGTGTTGACAACTTTGGGGAAGCATGGCCTGCTTTGGGGCCTTGCGACGCGCTGCAGCGTTTGGGATCTATTGCTAACGAACAGGTGCTTCGTCTGAACGTCGAAGGCCTCCGGCGAACACCCCCCAGCCCGCGACATCCAACTTATCCTTACAAGCCGCCGCGGCTCCCGTGGACATCTTATGGCCAAGCGATTAGCCAACAGCCACTTCAAAATTCTGCTCTGGTGATCGTCCTTGGCACGCTGTTCCGGGCAGTAATTATCCCCTGACGACCGACACTTCTGTTTTCATTTCACCGCTCACCACGTGGTGAGGTGGTTCCGGTGGGATACTTTGTGAATGCCCCCAGCCGGGAAGATGGGCAGTGACCAACAACAAAATCAACGTCCACGAAACAGCTTGGTGGACGTGAACTTCTTCCTCTGTGTAACATTTACTCAGGCTAATTGGCACTTTGAGACTTTGATGCAGCAGGAAGACCACAATGCTTGTCCATTCTAGCCGCAGCAAACTGCGTCGCCCTCCTTTTTGCCCGCACCAACAACCTCTAGCTCACCCATAGTAACAATCTCACAGGATCCCTTGCACTACATGAAAACCAGCTATCATGATTCTAGGTGGCCGTACATTGTGATTTGCGGATCTTTTGTCCGCTCTGCATCCCATCTATCTCATTCAAAATAAGCTCGCCAGTCGGCACGTCAGCCGAATGCTTATCGCCTCCAAACCGTAACAGGTAAATAGCTGTGCCTGGCTACAGCTCGAGCTAGCGTATCACGTCACACCATCACGGACCACCGCTGCCATCTTTCGCTGCAGACTTTCCCGGGAAAGGGCAGCTCGCTCAAGGTTTGGGACGAAATGAGGGGATCTTGCTCCAAATCTATGTACTACGCGTCGCGCCAGAATCAAGCTTTCGGAGAATTGTAGAGGACGGGAAAATGTGTGATGCTTCTCCGCGCGGGAGAACTAGGCGACGATGAGGGGGAATTTGGGTTTTGAGGCGACGATAAGTAGGGTATGTCGTCCGTTGTGACGCGTGTACAAGATGGGAGCGAGCCTATTGATGAGTAGTTCCTATACGGGATCCAAGGTACTGTTATTCTGATCGCAAAGTTTCCGATTCGGGGTCGAGATGCACTACATCAGCCTCCTCACCAGCCTGGCGTCCCTCTGGGGCGCGGCAGATGCGGCCTTTGGTCTAGCAGCCGGCAACAGCACGACATACAGAGTCGACACCAACGGTGAGCTCGTTTTTGAAGTCAACAAGTAGGACCTTCATGAAGATTGCCCCATCGATCCGCTGGCTAAGAAAGATGCAGAGCAAATGGCGACATCACAAGCCTTCTCTACAACGGCGTCGAGTACCAGGGAGCTTCCAAGATGTCACAGATCAACTCCGGCCTGGGCGCGTCCACGGTCACGGCGGAGACGGTGGGCGGCGTGGTCAAGATCACCGTCAAGGCGGGCTCGCAGCCGCTGACGCACTATTATGTTGCGAAGCCTGACGACCCGACCATCTACATGGCGACGCACATCACTGGCGAGATCGCG